AACAGGTGCCTTACTAGTAGTAACAAGAAGCTAGTAGTAACAAGTGCGTCGCCCAGTGCTGCCTCTCATGAAGAGCGGTGGCCGCGTTTTCATTACCCAGCCTGATCCACAGTCACAGGTTTTCGTATTATTTTGTTTGCCCATACTGCAAAGCAAACATATTGCCGCTGAGGACCTTTCAGAAAAAGCATTCTCCCCTGATGGCTTTCATCAAGCCTTTGCGAACCGGCTGATTGAACTCGACATTCAACTGACATCGCCATGTGCGTTTGTGTGTGTGCTTTTTTTGTTTGCCTCCAACCTAAGAGCGATGGCCTCCAACATCGCCTGTGTGGCAGGATGAAGTACATTACAACAATCGACTTTGGACAGTTGACAACTGAGGCGCTTGACTTGGGTGTAAACTGCATCGGATCAAAATGCCTAGTTGTTGCAAACTGTAAAAGTGCCTGTTGTCTGGTGAGCTGCACAATGTGACTGACAACCTATTATGTTTTCAACAAATGATGCCAGCCTGATTGTCGGAGCCTTGCTTTGGGCTAGCACAGCAAAGCAGTGTTATTCCACAAGGAAGACCTGGAACGAATCATTGCGAGAGCAGATTGCTTCGAGACTATTGAGTGTCTCACTCAGGATGGAAGACTTGGATTGAAATGCAAAGGGAAATCATGTGAGTCTGTGTCAATCAAATGCTTTAATCTTTCGCACACGAGACGACATGAGTGATGCAACTGAGGAATGAACCCATTTCCAATTCAATCAACAACCATGTGCAGACTGCGAGACTCGTCATCCTCAAGCCGAAGAAGGAAAGGTATTTCTGAAGAAGAGTCACACCATGTCAGAGGTTGGAGGCCATTGCTATCAGGTCGGAGGCCATCGCTAGCACGTTGGAGGCAATAGCTACTAGGTTGGAGGCGATCGCCACTCTTAGGTTGGAGGCCATCGCTCTTAGGTTGAGGCAATCGCTCTTAGGTTGGAGGCCATAGCTACTAGGTTGGAGGCCATCTACCAAAAGCGATGGCCTCCAACCGGACTCCAACCGTAGCTCTAACAGTAGCTCCTTTTAAGGGCGCTTTGGAAGCTGCAGGCGTGAGTGTGCTCGTGCTCTTCCTGACCAACTTCTCAACAAGAGAAGCCAAAATAGTTCGAACATGGGTTGGGCCAACAGGAGCCTGACCAACTCAATTCTTATGTCCAGAGCTTGGCATTGAAATGGACGCTGCGTTTGTTGTTTCCGTCTTCTTGTTACTAGTAGCTACTTCCTCCTAGTAGTACGGCCAGGAGCCCCTAGAAGCGTCCTTGCTCTTAGTAGCGATGCCAGGAGCCCCTAATAGCTTCTTGTTACTAGTAGCTGTAGTAGCTACTTCTTATTTCCTCTTGGACGCTGAGTGCATTCCAATCATTTCAGAGCATTCCTTTTGTGTGGCTAGTGGCTCAAAGACTCGAAGACTGGCGACAGAGCAAACAAGAGAGCAAACAAAGGCAAATAAAGAATCCAAGACTTGTCTTGTTTGTCTTGTTTGTCTTGTCACGGACTTGTTAATTCGCCGAATTGCGGCTTGGAAGCATGGATCGAACCTGCAACTTGGAAGAAGGCCTTTTTGCCGGCTCCCCAGCATAGTAAGCAGTAAGTAATCAGTAGCAAGTAACTCCTACCACTTGTTTGTCCAAGGAGAGGACACTCAGTACACGCGACCCTTCACCAGAGGAGCTGCCTTGAAGATCACTCACTTAACACACAAGTTACAGTAATAGGAAAGGTCTCCATTCTAAGAGCGATGGCCTCCACTACAAGCGATGGTCTAGCTTTGTATTCTTCAGGAAAACATTGGGGCTTTGGGCTGGCTGGTCAGAAGCTCATATGTTTGATTGTTTGCGGTGGCAACTTGCCTTGTTGACCACGCAAGTGCTGAATTTGATGTGACGTGCCCAGCGCACAGGCGTTTGTGGCCGACCTTCCCCCCCCGCATTTTTAAGTTGGGCATAGTTGAGCTAATTTGACTAATGTTGTGCTGGGCAACTGTTTTTCACTCTTTTTCAAACTTGTCCTTGTCAGCGCTTTTCGTTGTGCGTGGCTGAGGCTTTCAGCTGGTTTACACCCATTGTCGACTTAGCCTTTCGACGTGACCAGGCAGTCTTTTGCCGTGCAAAACCATGTGTTTCCTAGTAGCGATGCCCTTTGCTCCTAGTAGCAAGGCCAGGAGCCACTAGTAGCGTCCTTGTTCCTACCCGTTTGTTTGTGAGGAGAACGGGAAGTTGGAGCCCACTGATGTTTATCCTCTAACGCGGAAGAACGTGGCAGCAAGACAGCTGGAGCGACTGGATCAGCATTGGCAGGCCTCTTTCAATCACTTGAGTTGGATTCCATGTGTGACTCTGCGCTCTGTTGCGGCGTAGCTTCTTGCTCCTAGTAAGACCAGGAGCCCCTAGTAGCGTCCTTGCTCCTAGTAGCGATGCCCGGGTTCCTAGTAGCTTCTGGTTCCTGGTTTTGACGGGTCCTTTTCACTTCGTAGTCTCAGACACTTCGACAGTACGCTTGTTGATGCTTTTCACACTTTATTCCACTTAATCATTTAATCCGCGCTGCCAAATTGCAGGCTTGCAACGAGAGGAAAGGGCGCTTAAGTCCATCTGCTTCGGGCGTGGGCCTCCCCGCATGAATCAACTGCGCAAGAAGCCCGAAGCAGTCAAGAATTGTTTGTAACCTGAAAGCCTTGAGCCCGCTACAGTTTAAGCAGAGAATGACGTGCTCATCACAAGGAGACAAGGACCTTGTAGGCGCAAAGTAATTAAAGTGCCAGAGTCTGTCAGAGTGTCAGACTGCTTGCGCCCTTTCCCAAGCCCCAGCCCTTTGAAGCTTGGACAACTCGCTTGGCACGTCCATCGCTTTTAGGTTGGAGGCCATCGCTATTAGAAACAAAGGAAAACAAAAAGGAAGACAGGTCTAATATAGTTAGGAGCAAGAAGCTACTAGGGGCTCCTGGCCTTACTACTAGGAACAAGGACGCTTTTAGGGGCTCCTGGCATCGCTACTAGGAGCACGGACGCAATGGAAGAAAGGTCTAATTAATATAGTTTGCATTTGCGGTAGCAGCCTACGGGTGGGGCGACCGACAGTCGCGCTTGCAAAGGTGGCTGACCCCGGCCAGCTATATATATATATAGTATTAGTACTTCATGGTATCACAATATTTGCGACAGTAGGTAAGACAACCTGTATCGACCTGTTTCTTTTAGTAAGCAGATATACCCTTGTAGGGCGATGAAGGTGGTCCTGCCCTGTGCTTTGACGAACAGGTGGAGCTCCAGAAGGAGAAGCCGGCCCTCATCAAGGCAATGAAGAGAGCTTTTTGGAAGGAGGTGCGGTGGGTGCGGTGCACCCACGCCTTCATTGGGTTTCCGGTTGCAAGAGTTTCTGCTATGAGAGGGTCCACAAGTGTTACTAGAAGCGTGGCACTTGTTCCTAGTAGCTTATTGTTTCTAATAGCTTCTTGTTACTACTAGTAAAGCACTTGTTACTAGTAGCGTGGCACTTGTTACTAGTAGCATCACTAGTCGGGGTGCCTTCACCCTTTTGGCACAGTGTTTGTAGAATACTTTGTACGTCATGTGTCGCCAGAAGCCAGCGACTGGTATTTTGTGGCGCCACATCAGCTCCCTTCTACTCTAAGTACTCTAGTTCATGTTCCACGTTACTTGCAAGCAGCGACTGCGGCGCTGTTGTATTCTCCCAGCGTAGAGCAGAGGCAGCGCTCTGGCAGTGCTCTGGCAGCGCTCTGTGGGTGTTTTGCGACAAGGGTTGTCCCCTAGATTCTAGATCATCTCAAAACGGTGAGGGAGTGCACTGAAACCTAAGAAAACAAGAAATGAAAAAAAGAAGCTGTGCCACATTAAAGGGGCGTTCCATACCCTTACCTTACCTTTCTCATTTATTTTTCCCACTTTTTTCTTGGGGTTCTTCTGTTGAAAAGACACATTAGCTCAAGACATACCACTTCTCAAGAGCTGCTACTTTGCTGCTCCTACATCTACTACTTCTAGACTTGCAATTTGGGGGACTGCTTCTTGCACATGTAGAGGACCTGCTGCTTTGGACCTTGTGCAAGTACATGCGTCACGGGGACCCTGTGGGACACCTTGTACTTTCACATCTACACTTCGCTGGTCTACAAGGTTGGAGGCCATCGCTATTAGGTTCGAGGTTGGAGGCCATCGCCATTAGGTTCGAGGTCGAAG